ACAGGCAGGACGTGTTCCAGGTGCTGGGATCCAAAACAGGACAGAGAGCAATTCTGCCTCTGTGGGGCCTACCTACGAGCTAGGGAAACTAGGTACGGTTCAATAAATGCATCATCTATAATAAGATCTCATGTGGAAGAGATAAGTGCTTTGGAGAAAAAGAAAGCAGAGTTAAGGGTTCCCCAAGGACAGTCAGGGAGGCCTGCTTGACAAGATGATATCTGAGCAGAGACCTAACTGAGGCATGCAGAGGACCGGCAAGACAAGGACAGGGTTCTGTAGTGGGGACCCCACTCCTTGGTCCAAACGGCCGCAGGACCGTGTGATGGAAGAGGCCAAGCAAGCAGTGCCACGTCGCCTGAGGCCTCGCAAGCCACGTGACGATGTGGGGACTATTGCCAATGTGGGCCATGCCTTAGAAGCTTCTGAGCAAGGCGGTGTCATCTGATGGTGAGCGAGAGCCCACTGCGCACCGGCCAGACTCATCTCTCTAAGGCAGTCCTGGGAACACCTCCCAATCCCTGCCCCCAGCCTCCACCCTTTTCTAAAACTCTTTAGAGGCCCCCTCTTGGTCCTCGGGATAAAGGCCAGGCCCCCTGGGTGTGGCCCTGCCCCAGTGGCCTCCCAATCACACCTTCCCTAACCCCCTCCTTTCCTAGCCCCTGTAAACCATTCTTCTCTAAATCTGCCAGCTCTGCCTGGGACAACCCCCCACCCCTGCACACCTAAACTGGACAGCCCCTCCCTGCACCTTGGTCTCTTTGGTCAGCTCCCTCAGGGACTCTTTCCTGCCACCCCACCCTGCAGCAGGTCATGGCCTCCTGCTGATGGCTATCAGAGCCTTTATCACAGGAGTAGTCATTACAGGCCCTGTCATGGGTCTGCGCCAGATACAGTAACCCCCTGTGGACCAGAACTGGAAATGACCTATCAGTGTGTCTCCAGGCCCTAGCACTGTGCCGACAGACCTGGCAGGGGCTTAGCAAATGCTGAACTAATTAATAATAACAGAATTAATAATATCCAAGCAAATCTGCCCCTCTCCCACCTCGCCTCCGTGAGACTTCCTGGTTCCTGGTGTGGGGGCAGAGGGGCCAGAGAGGGAACCCCTTTTACTTCCACAGGGAGAAGCAGCACTGGCTGAGCCAGGCTGGGAGCCAGCTGCGAGGCTGACTTTCAGAGGCAGGCCGGCAGAGCTCATAAACGGCCCGGTTACATTTATAGCCATGTTCTTATTAAGCACCAGGAGAGGAGACATGAATCATACCCCCTCCTCCCACCCACAGCCTGGGGAGGTGGAGGCCGCCAGCCAGCCTGGCCTTAAATCTCAGGAAATCTAAAAGTCACAAGTGCTCAGGGTCAGCCCTGCATCGCCAGGGACAGAAGAAAAGCAACGCTGCTTCTCGGGCAGAGCCCTGCCCTGTGCCCCCCAGGGTCCAGGCCGAGGGCATAGGATAGGAGGGAAGTGGGGAGGTACACTTCCCTGAGAACTTCTAGGAATAGGGTCCTCAGTTCTGGGTTGCACTGAACACTGTGTGACCTCGGGAAATTCAAATGACATCTCTGGGCCTTTGGATGACATACTTCCTCTTGGTGAACTGAGTCTAGGTATTCCTGGGAACATTCCCAGAAGATATTTTCACCTCCCCTCAATCTTCCCATTTTGCAGAAAAGGAAAGTAGAACCCAGAGGGGACCCTAGCTACCAGACTTCGAGCAACAGCTGCTCTGAAAGATCAGAAGTGCAAAAGGTTCTTAGAGTAGGCATCACCTTGAGGGTGAGGCCAGGGATGTCATTTACAAACATGTCCTCATGGCACCGTCACCTGACCCCTAATCCAGGAGCCACAATAACCATCACCGTCCTAAAGCACAGCAGGGCCCCTTAGCAAATGTCCTGCTCCCTTCTCTGGATGGCAAGGGTGAGGGGTGAAGGCAGCCGCGCCTGTTTCCTGGGGAGGGTAACTGGGCACAGACCACGTGCCAGGAGTGGAATTTGTACGGGGTCTTCTTCATACCTGAGGCCTCTTTAGCTTTCTTTTTGCATGTGTAATTGATTTCAGTGAGATTTATTGAGGTTTTTAAACCCTTTTTTATTGTGAAATATAACACAAATACCAAAAAGTGAATAATCCATAACTGTAGAGCTTAATGAGTTATATAAAGTGAACACCCAGGAAACCACCTCTCAGGCCCCAGGAGATAAGATGTTGCCAGAAGCCACCCATCCCCATGCCAGCTCCTCCCTCCCTGCTCAGGGAAACCACATCCTGGCTTTTATGGGAGGACATTTTTCTATCCTGTACTGAGCGCACTGACCTGGAAATTCGAAGGAATGAAGAACGTCAAACTAGAAGGCAAGAGGCATGGCTCCAGTTCCACTCCCCTCTCAGATCTCAGTTTCTGCATCTGTAAAGTGGAAGATTAGACCCATCAAGCCATAACAGTCTAGAATCTTAAACCAGCAGGAAAACAATTCTGCTGGGGGACTCTGTGTGTGCAGAGGTGAGGAGTAGGGATCAGAGGCCCCTCGACACGTTTGCAGGGTGCTGTTTCCCTCTCCCTCATTCCAGAGAAGTGATGGTCTCCTTCTTCCACCAAGCCCTGGGCACTTGTGATTGGGGGAGCCTCTTTGTGTCTGCCTTGGAGATGCAGTTTTGGGGTTTCCTGCCCAAAGACCTGTGGGGAGCCCTGGGGTTCTCTGAGCTTATACCCCATCCCTGCCAGGAAGACTTTTCTGAGCATTTCTCTTTTTTAAAAAAAAGGTAAGAACCCAGAAGCCAAGCAGGGTTTCTTCTTTCCTTCTGTCACAAGCTCTGATGTGAATTCTGGTCCCTGCCTGTGCCAGTCCTGGGATGCCTAACCCAGCAACCCTTCTGCAGCGTGATGGCTGGGAAGCACACGCCTGTGGAGAGGACAGAGAGAAAGGAGGGGGTGGGAAGGTGCAGTCCTTACTGTGTGCCTAGCCCTGCAGGGGCACTGGGCACTCAATGTCTGGTTGGATCTGCCTCCTCACACATCTGGAAGCAATATTAACACTCCCATCCTCCAAAGGAAGACGCTGAGGCTCAGGGTTGAAGAAACTTCTTCAAAGTCACACTGTTGGCATGTGGCAGCAGCAGGCTTAGAAACAGGCCTGTCTGATCCCACAGCTCTTTATTTTGTCCCCCCATGCCCAGTCCTGGCCTGGAATCAAGAAAGGAAGTCAGTCTCTTCCCAGCTTCCAGATCCCTTCTGCCCTGGCCAGGAGGTGGTGGTGTTTATGAATGGAGGGGAGGAGAAATTGCCAAAGGAAGTCAGGATGATGGAAGGTGAAATGGATTAAAAGGAAGAATGAGAGCTGCGGGGGGTGGCGGGGGGGTGAGGGAGGAGGCAAAGCTGCAGAGAACAGGCTGAGGTTTCCAGCTGGGGCAACTCAGGGGACGGCAGAGCCAAAATCCAAGATAGGAAAGAGCAGGTTTGATGGGGGAGAAGCTTGGTTTTGAAGATTTTAGCATTTTGTTTCTCACTTCTTTTTCCTTTGCAAAAAGCTTGTTATAGAATGTGAACATTATCAATGGTGGATGGGTGGGTGGATGCATGGTTGGGTGGGTGGATAGGTGGATAGTTGGATGGATGGATAGACAGGTGGATGGCCGGGTGGATGGACGGTAGGGTGGACGTTTGGATAGATGGATGGGTGGGTGAGTGGATAGGTGGATGGCTGGATGGATGGACAGGTGGGTGGGTGCATGGATGGATAGGTGGGTGGATAGGAGCAGGGGTGGGTAGGTGGGTGGGTAGATAGGTGGATGGATAGGAGGGTGAGTAGATGAGTGGATATGTGGGAGGATATATGGGTGGGTAGGTAGACGGATGAATGGCTGGGTGGGTGATCAGTTGAGAGAAGAGAGGGGCGGAGAGGTGAGCACATTTAGGGCAAAGGATCCTCTGGGTCTGCCCTGCATTCCAGATGGGGATGGAGAGATACAAACAAATTTGGAGTAAGGACCCTATAAGCACCCAGAGATACCTAACTGTGCTCCCGTGGACAATATTCCTGGATATGCTCCTATACCTATCCTCCTTCTCCCCCTTCCTGCTCCCTTACCCCTAACCCTCATTTCTTCCTCTCTTCTCCCCATTGCCCTCAAGACCCCGAGAGGGGGCATGCTTCTTTGGGCCCAGGAACAATGGCATGAACTACAAACTCCTTAACTTATACCAGCAACTCCATCTGGCAGAGTGGAGGCTCAGAAATGCCTGGGGGCCTTGGTTGAAGCCACCTGCAAGGCCTGGTGCTGAGGTGAATCCAGACTGTCTGGCCACTCGGTCCTGGGGCTCACTGCTAAGCACCTGCTGGAGGAGAGGAGCCCAGCGGGGCCTGCATTCCCATCTCTGGAAAACACTGAAACAAGCTGGCCTCTCAGCCCTGCTGAGCTCCCGCTGCCCAGCCTGGGTTAAGGCCATGGCTTCTCAGCAGTACACCGTGATTGCTCGGTTGCTTTTCCTGCTGGATGATTTTAGTTGAATAATTTTGCATGATCTCAGCACAGCATGAGAGAGTGCCAAGCTAAGGACGAGGGGCTTGCACTGCAGGCGAAGGGTCGAATTGGAATCTAAAGAGCTCCCTACAAATCGTTCTCTGCCGGGGACTAGAATTTCCTACAGCAACGGTTGCTGGTCCGCTCATTACACCAGCCCCTCCCTCTGTGTGTCGCTCTGAGTGGCTCCCAAAGGGAAAGGGCCCATGGGTGGCTCCCAGCCTTGTGTGGCCACGGGTGGGTCCCAGGTTGATAAAGGCACTCGACACTGTATTGGCATTACCTCACTGAATTTCCACCACCTCTACCCGCACCCCACCCCCTCAACACACACCACATGGACGCAAGCACTGTCATCCCTACTATGCAAGGAGGAAACAGAAGGGCAGACTTGCCTAAGAACCCCGCCTGGTAAGGGCTGATGAAGCCAAGGCCAAGCCTAGTATGGACAGACATCAAAGAGGTGGGTGGTGGGTGCTCAGGAGTCTGAGAGGAGGCAGTGGATCCAGGTTGGGAGTGGAGATGCCAGACTGGAAGACCATCCCAAGAGATGGGCAGAGTCCAACAGAGAAATCCGAGGAGTTTACCTGGAGGGGAGGAGTCGGGAACGCTGTTAGAAGATCTGGAAGAAACTTTGAATCACACGTTGGAGCTGCCAGACTCTTACAGGGCTTCAAATCATCCTGTTCATTTCAAAGATGAATTTCACAATCATCCTAGAGAAGTCAAGGGGCTTGGCCAAGGTCACAAAGCAGGGGAGCTGAGACCGGAGCCAAGTATTCCCAACCCCCATAATCCCACACTGGGCTGGGCCTTCCCCCTCCCCTAAAGCCACAGTCCTCCTAGGTCCAGCAAGGCTGGGTCAGATTGGAGCCAGAGGAAGAGGGGTGGAGGAGTCCCAGGCCAGGTCCAGGCAGGGATGACCACCCCTCCTGCAGGCCCTCCTCCACCCCACCCCCGTTGCTATTCCTGGCACCGCCCCCTCATTCCCCCTCCCGAGGAAACCCAGTGATGCTGGGAGCTGGAAATTTGGACATTTTCCCAGCATTTGCGATGTTAATTAAAACTAATAAATCTGCCACTTGGAGTTGGGTTGAAGATGAGAAAGGGCGAAGTAGGAGAGGGAGGAGGGGACCCAGGCGCAGGATCCCTCCCTCCCCAACACACACACACCCCACCCCTGCGAGGATCCTTCCCTTTCAATCCTGCCTACTGAATTATTTTCTCTATTGGCCATTTATTCACTCCACTCTTGACTTTTCCCAGCTGTCAGCCCCAACCTCTTCCTAAGCATGCGCCAGCTGTTCTGAGAAGGAGTGGAAGACCTTTCTAAGGCAACCACCCCCTGCCACTTCCCGGGACTAAGTGAAAAGCATGGGGTACCGCGGGGACAAACCAGGATTCAGATCCCAGCATTGCCACTTTCTAGCCAGGTGGCCTCTGGGAGTCATTTTCCCTCTCTGAGCTTCTCTTCCTTCACCTCTAAAATGCAGATTGTATTTCCTACTCTTGAAACCGCTTAAGAGCACAAAGTTGAACAAAAATCAAAATGGCCGCACTAATGCTTCAGCAAAGTTCAGTTTTGCAGTACTCTTTCTCCTCTCTTCCACAAAGCTCCCCTCCACTCCTCTTAGCCTTTTGTTTCAGGAACCGGTACCACCCTAAAGACGGGATGAAGGAGGCTCGTAGCGCCTACACAGTTCCGATCAAACCCACTGCATCCTCTATTTCCCTATAAACCACCCCCGCCCCCTCCACCTGAAGGGCTTGCAGTTTTTGAAGGCCACAGCCTGTGTGGCCTCTTGTGCCCCTGAAGCAAGAAAGTGCTGGTTCTTCTTTATCCCAAACTCTGTCTTCATGTTATACTTGGGCTCTGAAGCACGAAGGTCGGTTTTCGACAACACTTGGATAGGTTATCGTGAAGATGGCATGAGACAGTTACCTGCAAAATAGCCTCTTAAACAACTGGTAAGTGATCTACTTCTTGGTCTCCGTGATTTCCTATCCTGATTTTCCATTCCCTCTCTCCCAACTGCCTTGACTCCTAGAGATTCTCGCAAACTTTCAAAGTCGTGTATTAATAGGAATGGAAACAAAGCCACTTGACGGCTCTGTAAAGGTGATTTTAATTTACAGAAGTCCCTCGCTAGACTAGGGGACCAAGCCATGCCGCGAACCTCCAGGAACTCCAAGACATGTCCATAACTCCCATGCCGCCAAGTCTGTGGGTCCTAACCGAGGCTCAGGTGAAGTGCTCCAGGACCCAGAGGAGAGAGAGATGATTCTAGCAGGGGAGGGAGAGGACCTGGGAAAGAGTCATGGAGCAAGTGGCCCTTAATAGGGCCTTTAATATAGGTGAGACGTATACTGGTGGATGTGGTGTGGCCATTCCATAGTGAGCACCACAAGCAGATGGAAAAGTGTCAGCAAACACCCGGTGGTGGGACGTCCAGTGGGGTGGTTGGGAAGGAGAAAATGGACCCACTTTTCTGAAAGGTAGTGTGCGTGAATGGGAAAGACAGAGGTTAAGACCAGAGAAGTAAGTTAGAAGCAACAAGCTGAGGGCTTTGGACGCCAGGACTAAAAACCTGGGCATCACTCAGCCAACCGTGGGGAGCCGCTGGGAACTTCTGAGCAAGAGGGCAACACATGGGACTGCAAGAGTAAGGTGGCAGCCACACCTACAGCAGACTAGAGGAGGGAGAGGCCAGCTAGGAGGGAGCTAACAGGAAAGGCAGTGAGCCTGAAGGAGGCCCGAGAAGGGCATGGCCCTGGGGATGGTGAGCTGAATCCAACCACCCTGAAGAGACAGACTCATCAGGGAAGAGCACAGCGTGCTGGAAAGAGCTCAGACTTGGGCTTGAACCTGGTCTGCCTTCCTGCAGAGGCTGAGATGCAGGTCGCCGGGACCTTGACCAGATAGCAGGGCATGAACTGCAGGCGGGTTTGCCGATTCCATGACGCGGCAGCTGGAACGTGCTCTGACATCAGTTTGTGCTCAGCGAATGCTGACGGCCTGATGGGAGGGTGAGTGGACAACTAAAGGAATGCATGAACGATGAACGATCCAGTGAATGAATGAATGAACAAATGAATGAATGAGTCCAAGAAGCAGGGGAGAGAGGGAGAGAGGCAAAGCAGCTTCAGGGGCTCCCACTGGAGCGTTGGGCTTCCTGAGCCTCCTCCTCCCCCTTCTTCCACACTCAGCCCTAAGCCTGAACACAGCCCTGGGCTGAGCTGGGTTTCCCACAGGGGTGGAGGGAGGCGTGAGGGGAGAGAGGGAAAGGTTTAAACATGATGAGCGGCTTGCATTGCACCGTCGGAATCCCTCCTCCTTCTGAGAAGCAAGTACTTAGAAGCAAATGTTACTTAAAACCCAGTTAGCACTGCTGTGATTTTAGGTTTTTTCTCTAGGTGACTTCCCACTAGCCCTGCCAGTTTGGGGCAGGGATGGGGCCGCTCCAGGGCTGTGACCTCAGCCTAACCGGGGAACACTGGGCGCCTGGCACTTCCGCAACGTGGGCCTGGCCTCGGTGACTGATGGTGTCTGAGCCAGTGTGAGGCCTGGGAGCTGGGATCTGTTGCCTCCAGGAAGCCCTCCTGTTGGGACCCCTCCTTTCCTTTCAGATAAATTCCTCCTGCCAGTCAGAAATCCCACCGTAAATATGACTGCTTGCTATTGTACAGCCGTTCTCATTGGGTCTTTGTAACAGCACTCTCCCCATCTCACAGACGAAAGAAACTGAGACTCAGAGAAAGTGACATTCCCCAGCTCACATGGTAAGTGCTAGAACCTGGTCCAACATGAAGTACAGAAAAGCTTGGTCACCTCCCAATGCCCTTCTCGCATTTGTGCAAAATGGGACTCAGAGGGGAGAACGAATGCAAATGGTCCCTACCATGAATAGAAAATGCCACCCAGGCAGTAAGACAGGCAGAAAAGCCTCCCAAACAATTATAATGATCAGGGTTAATATTATGGAGGTTTTCTCTTTGGCAGGCCCTCCTCTCTGCTAGAAATTAATCAACTCACATAACCACACGGTAACAATTATGAGATCCCCTTTACAGGCAAGTGACTGGCCCAAGGTCACACATGGCCAGGATGAGGCAGAGCCTGGACTCACACCCAAGCATTTCAGCTCCAGAACCAGTGCCCTACACCTTCTCCGGTTCCAAAAATACTCTGAGGGCAAGTCTAACACTGCCCCTAAGTTCTCTGGGGTTAAATGGGGACAATGACAGCACTTGGCCCACAGCACAGTACAAAAAGCTAATTGAGAATATGGCTGCCGGGGCATACCATAAACTGAGTGCTGGATGGTGTATTCTACCTACATCCCTGGGGCTTGGGTGGCATCCAGGGAGCCATTCTTTTGTTGCTGAAAATTCTAGAGAGGAACTGATGTAGGCAGATGGGAGGCCAAGCAGGTGTATGGGACAGAGAGGTAGGCACCGGGGAAGTCTCTGGGCAGGAAGTGTGTGTGGCACAGGGCAGAGTGGAGACAGACAAAAGTTGCACTGAGTGCAGACCAGAGTCCCCGGGGGCCTCCTGTGTGATCTTGGGCAAGTCACCGCACCTCTCTGGTCCCAGGTTCCTCCACTGAAAATAAAATGGAGCAGAGAAGTAGGGTGAAGGGGAGTGGGGTGAAGATGCTCCCCAGGGTCACCTCTAGCCTCACTGCACTATTTCGGTGTCCCCGAGACTGGCCTGTGGCACAGCGAAACACAGGAAATAGGTATTATGGTGACGGTATGGTACACATCCAGCTCTCCACAAGTTTCACTACAGAGAGCCAGAACTCCAAGTAAATGTAAAGGCCCTCAGCCTCCTGACCTCCATCCCCCCACCCCAAACTCACCCTTCCAGTTCCCCAGATACCTGAGAAAATGGAGCATTGGGGAGATACCAGATTGAGAGTCACTGATCTACTCTGAGCCTCAGTTAACTCTTCTGTAAAATGGGGGCATGGGGACTGTGGCAAGGAGGTGGAAGGTCCAGCTCTGCCAGTCTAGGCTTCCAGCCTTCAAGTGAGACTTCTTTGTCCATGAGGTTATGTGTTTCTCTGAGGATAAAAGCTGGGAGAAGGTGGGAGCAGTACTACCTCAGTTCTTTTTTTTTTTTCTTAAAGATTTTTTTATTTATTTATTTGACAGACAGAGATTACAAGTAGGCAGAGTCAGGCAGAGAGCGAGAAGAGGAAGCAGGCTCCCTGCTGAGCAAAGAGCCCTATGCGGGGCTCGATCCTAGGACCCTGGGATCATGACCTGAGCTGAAGGCAGAGGCTTTAACCCACTGAGCCACCAAGGCGCCCCACTACCTCAGTTCTTCCTGGGGTAGAGCACCCTCCAGAGGGAGACGAGATTGGTGCCACATGGCTGCTGAGAGGAGGATGAAGGAGGGGCTCTACCATCTCCAGTTTAGAGTCTGGATCAGCTAGGGACAGGATGCCACTTCCTCCAGAAAGCACCAGTGAGTACAGTGGGCGTGGACTAGCCGAATGCATGGTGCCCACCCCCATCAGCAGCCCATTCCTGTCTGGGCACCCCCTCCTCGCACTCACACGCTGGCACCCCTGCCTCTGGA